TGTGAAAACGAAATATTCAATGTCTTATTTTCCGCGACTTCTTACGAGCTTCTTATTAATTACGATTCTGTAGATAAACATATCTACTATTACTGGCAATTTTCATCGAGTAAAGATTGCAATAAAGGAAATTTTCCAACTTCACTTCTCTATTGCCACTTTAAGTACGATACTATCTTAAAATCTTCCAGTTTCCAACGTTGAAAAACGTCACGAGGCAAAATTCGAACGGATCCATCAAACTTATATATTCTTGATTTTCCAACGCGAACGAACGAGGATATTTTTCTCGAGAATGGAGAAATAGTTTTCGAAGAAATATTAGATAATAACCAAGGTGTGTATTAACGTTCGCGATTCTAAATTTTCAGCTCTCTTTGAGGAAAAGCGCGGCCGTTTGCCTCGCGGTGTTTCGCACAGGCCGAGAGACGAGCGTTCGATCGGGAATTCGAGCTTGTAATGGGCGCGATACATTCCGCATCGCCGTTAATGCGGGGCAACTTAATGTAAGCAGCGAGCGAAGGAATAATAGTGGCCTAGCCTACGGACATTCATTTATCTTAGTTTATTGCCAACTGCGAGGAAACAAACACCGTTGGAATACGCAACGACGCGCCATTAACCTCCCAGTCGCTTTGCCGAGCCGAGCTTAACGGTTTGTCTCGTACTTTTATTCCGACTGACTTTCAGTTTGCTTAATAATGACTCGATGACGCATCGTCATTTGTATCGGCTTTCCTAATTGGATTCGTATCGACGTGACCGCCTCGTGTTGCAACGCGTTCGAGAAAATCTTTGGAAATCCGAGATTTTCCTGTTAGATGAGAATTCCTTGTTGTCGTCTATTATTTATTTAGCTACCATATTAAATAATCCCTTTCAAATATTAAGTGGAAATTTTTTTAAGCATGCACTACGAAACTATTTATATCGTGAAGAAAACTAAGATTATTTGCCGTAACGGTTAGAAAATAAATTTGTTTGAAGGAAGAAGCGGCGAGAGACAGATAACTAATAATTATTTTTTTAAATTATTATTTACAAGAAGCTTCTAAAGATTCACACATGCACTAGCAGGAAAATCGAACTTGCAAAATTCTATCTTCGTCGAAATCGAATTCGATATAAACGAAATTTTCTATCTCTATTGGCAGATTTAGGATCGGCTCGAAATATATAAATGTATAAAAAAAAAAAAAAAAAAAAAATTCTCCACGAATATGATCGATATATTTCGCACAAGATTATAGATATCAAAGTTCGAACGGGATTCCAATTTCCGGAAAAATTTCCTTTCCGATATAATTAACTTCTGTTATATTTTCATATTTTCTCTTTTCTTCTTCTTCTTCTTCTTCTTATTCCTTTCTTCTTATTCCTTTTTATTCTTATTCCTTTTTCTCTTTTCTTTTCCGTTTCCATCGAAGATCCATAACACTCAGATCCACGACATTTCGATCACGTTGGAAAAATCGGCTTCTCTATTCCCGGAGTACGGGGTGCGGAGAGAAAGGTTGGAAGCAAGGTTGGCCGATTCTCTAAATCACGCGAAAAGCTGGCATAACAAAAGATCGAGCGAAGGGGGAAGGGTGAGCGAGCGAGGCGGCGGCCGTGAGGCGGGGGATGCGACGGTCGGGATAGGAGAGGTGGGCGGCGCGCGACACACCGGGATCCGAGAGACGAAATCGAACAGCGATCGTTCGAAGCGGCGGGGTAATTAGCGTCCATCGTTGTTCCGCATCGGCCGCGTTGTTCTCCGGCGAAACAAATTAGACCGTGGCGCGTCGCACGAGCGAATAAATTTAGGGAATGTTTCGGCTTCGAGCGGAGACGGAGGGGATAAGGGAGCGAGGGGTGGAGGGAGGGGGGTGGGGGGGAGAGGGCAGAGTTCCCTCGTGGGGGAACGAGAACGAAAATTGAACGAGAAGGAAGGAGGAAGGAACGAAGGCGCAACGACGACCAACAACGTGGTGAAAAAAAAGAAACGAGAAAAAAAAAAGAAAGAAAGAAAGAAAGAAAAGAAAAGGAGAGAGAAGGAAAGAGAGAGCGAATAAAAAGGAGAAAAAAACGAGAGGAGGGCGAGGGGAGGGGAGGGGAGGGGAGGAGAAGAAGAAGAAGAAGAAGAAGAAGAAGAAGAAACAAAAATAAAAAGGACACGCGAGGAGGGGGAGGAGGGGGAGGGGAGGGAGGGATCCGTAGGGGGAGGGGGGAAATGTTTCTGGCACAGGATATAATGGACGCATTGCACACGAATATAATGAGATTTTACAGTGCAATTCACATAAAGCATTGGAAACAACAAAAGCTTCGGGCTGGATGTGGATGGGAGGGGGATGGGAGCGAGCAGGGAGATCGAGGGTGCGGGGGTGTATAGCGCGATAAAAATGCCTGCGCCTAAACACATTATTTCTACCGTAGCCCTGCTTTTGCTCTACCACCACCACCACCACCAACACCGCCACCACCACCACCACCACCACCACCACCGCCGCCACCACCACCACTGCCACGGCTAACGCGTGTTACCACCCCTCTGTCCCCCGTTCCAGATATATTCCACGATCTCTGAATGCAGACTGTTACCCTTTCCCACCACCTCGAGACCACTTGTCCGCCCTCTTTTTATTCTCTCTCCCCCCTCCCCCTCTCCCCTTTCACTCTATCTTTTTTCTCCCCCTGTGTTTTTTCTTTTTATTATTTCTCTCCTACCCGGCACGGGTTTGGTTTCGAATATGCCGCGACACGAGAGTGGGAATCGAGGATCGCGTAATACGCGTGTAAAACGCGTCTCATTAACGGTGCTTGGAGAGGGGGAGGGGGGAGAAAACTCGTCGCTTTCTTTGACGATGTTGATTACCTCTCGAAAACGCGCCCCGGTTTGCTCTCCCCGTGGAAACACAAAAAGCCTGCTCGGCGGGGGGGAGGGGAGGGCATTTTTGATTATGGGGACAGGGATTTAAATGCTGATAATTACGCGAGCTCCGGCTGGAAAAACGTCGAAACGAGGAGGATCAAAGAGGGATACCGAGGCCGGCCGCGCCTCGCGATCGGATGCGTTTTTCGCGTTTCGAGCAATCTCAATTAACTCGGTGAAAATAAAAATAAAAATAAAAAAAAGGAGAAAAAAATGGAGGATAAAAAAAATATAAATACAGATATATATATATATACGAGGAAGGCACTTTTATTCGCTGCACTGTACACCCGATACACGCTCGACACTTCTCAAATGTTTCTGTTCCACGCGCTTGATTTATGCGCGTGCTCTATCGGTTTGGAAATTAAAACTCGAATATATTTCGGATGAGGTGGATACCGGGGAGCGTTAAAGAGTTAAAGGAGCGACGCTGCGATATAGGAATGGTGACGTTTATGGAAAGATGATTTTACGGGCGATTTTTATGGGATCTAATTTAACAATCTTTCTATTCAAAATTCTCACTATCTTGATTCTTATCTTTGATTATTGATTAAAGAAGCTATCTAATAATTAACGAAAGAATTTATTCCACAAGTTATTCTAAATTTCTTTGAAATATTTCCAGAATATTTCAAAATATATATATATATAGAAAAAAAAAGGAATCACGAACTAAACTCTGATTCGAGGACACGACAAGGATTACTAATTAGTACAAATTTCTACAGAATTCACGAAACGATACACAAGTAATCGGTTGATAAAGGAACGAATGAGAACAGATGTACAGGATTTGAATTTTTGAGGGAATCACGACGCCCGGATAGATCCGTTGGACAAACAAGTGCCTAACTCTGTCTACCTGCTTTTTTTTTTTTTTTCACCCAACCATTTCCGGACCTTCGACTCTGAATACCCTTTGAACGTTGTCCAATAGGGAGTGGGACGCTTGAAAGCGAGCGGACAGCTAGAGGGACCGCGACGGACAGAGAGACAGGAGCGATAGCGGAGAGACGTGGTACGAAGAGAGAGAGAGATAGAAAGGGAGAGGGGGAGGGGAGAAAGAGAAGGAAAAAGGGAAGAAGCGATCGCGGATGGCCGGTTGGCGGACGGAGATGGGGAGGGAGAGGAGAGGGAGATAAAAAAGATTGAAGGGTGCGTTTTGTCGCGCCGTCGATAAATTTTGAATGCACCCGCCGGCGGAATTAGTAGCCTGTTGGGTAATGATCAAAAAAATTATAAACAAAAGATTCCACGGATGGCGAGCCTTTTTCGTGGATCAACGAGGCAAGCGGAGAACTCGCTTGGCGAAAAGCTTTGACGGTGTCACGGTTCCCACCCGACCCGTTCCTGCCCAAACCTGCCGGGCACACTATATTTAAAAATCGGCGCGCTCTCCCGGAAACTTTCTCTCCGCACAAAGGGTAGGGGCCAACCGTTTACATCGGGTTTATTAAAATCGACTGCCAGGCGAAATATAAACCGTCAACCGGAACGTGGACGCATCGGTTGTTGTTCGGATGACGGCCGCTAGATCGCTCTCTCGTTCCAGATCGCCTTCTCCGATCTCCGACGAACATTAATCTATCCTCTGATTTCTCAACATTTCTCTGGAAAATTGCTTGAAATCTTACCATGTAATTCAAACAATTTGAAAGAAAAAAATTACTCACTATCGTGTCAATAATAATAAAGCGTCGATAATTGTTGCCAATTTCTAATTTCAAAAAGCAATGCATTCTACACGTCATACTCACAATAGAAAGGAAGGACATTGCGCAACGTTTCTCGTACCACTAAAAATTCGCTAACTGATGCATTGTGCATTGAAGAAAAAAAAGAAAGGAAAAAGAAAAAAAAAAAGAAATTCATGATCGAACACTGAAACGATAAGAGCAAAGCGATATATGATAGGAGCGAAAGATAAGAACGAAGAATAAAAAAGATAGACAAAGAAAGAGAGAGAGAGAGAAAAAGAAAATAAAAGTGACAAACAAGAAACCTATCGTATATCGACAAAAGCATAGATGCATAACGCAGACTCGTCCTGGGTCAGCTTTCAAATGCGATTGATACGTACGGTGGATGATGCCGACGCCGGTCGTGCTCGTAAATCCGCCCACCAACGCTACAGACAGAGAGAGATTCATTATTTTTAATTAAACAAAACAATAATACGGTTATTAATTGATTAATTAAACATCACGTATGCATTACGTTGTTCCATCAACGGCCGCCGTCGGTTAATCCACCCCTTTCGACCCCTTTCGTACGCTCGCCGCTTATTACGCCGACTTTTATACCCACGTACGGTAGAGTTTTGCAGCAACGACGCACGAAAGGGGTGGTACGGGGGCGGGAGGGACGGGGTTGGGTGGGCCGGTTCGGGGGGGGGAGGAGGAGAAAAAAAAATGGGCGGACAGGGGTAGCGGAGGATGGGTAGGTAGGGAGGGAGGGTAGGGGGGTGGGGAGAGGGTGGAAAAAAAATTTCGTTCGCTCGCTATCATTGTGTTTGTCCGGTCGGCCGTGATCGCGACGCGGGTTTTATCAATACCGCCGTTTTCGGCGGGATAATAGCCTGATTTTTTGCCCGCGCCGCCGCGTTCGCCACTCCTCATCGATCGGCAAATTTAATGAAGTTGTATCAGTTATCGACCCGCTCCGCTTTTTCTTGCAATTTTAGTAATTAATTTCTCGATTTAGTCTCTTGACGTCAGTGTTCGACAACCGACATCCACCGTCCTCCGTGTCGCCGCTAAATTTATGGATAACCCGATCCCCCTCCCCCTCTTCCTCGCTTGGACTCTTGATTTCTCCTATAATTTCTCTTTAAAAACTCATCATCTTGTTTACGCGATTTAATGCTTTAGAAATTTGTAAATGAGATAGTTTGGGAATTGATAATATAAAATTGATAATTCCCTTCCGATCTCCGATTAACCCAATCTGACGTATGAACCTACGAAGCGAGAGATAAGTTGTTATAAAAATTCTATAAATTTGAATTTTAAATGTCGAAATTTTTCATAATGGTTTCCGTTATGTCAACGCGTATGAAATTCGAAATTAATTCGTTGCTCCAAGAAAAAACGTTCGATCGAATTACACCACGCGTACAAGACGAAACGAACTATATATAATTTCTCGAAAAATGTTCTTTTCTATTCCCTAAATCGTATTATACTAACGTATTCCCAGTCTCAGTTTAACAAACACGAAATTCCATTTAAAAAAAAAAAAAAAAGGAGAGAATGAAAGATACAAAAGAAACCACGGGAAGTCAACGTTACGAAGTCAGCAGCCATTCAAGAGTATATCCAGTAACACCGGTAACGCTCGTGGCGTGCATCTAATTAACGTCGATCGCGACAGGGGGAAAAAAGAAGGAAACAAAGGGAGAGAAAGAAGTGTAAAAGAGAGAGGAAGAAAGGGAAAAAACGGTAGAAAAACATCGTTTCGCCTTAATATCGTGGAAACGATCACGCGGCACAATGACGTTTGAGACTGTAACCAGCTCATAATGGCGGCTCGCCGTTGGCCGCGATAATAACATTAAGCTTTATTTAGGTGAAATTCAACTTTAAAACGTGACTCGCGGTAATTATGCGAGAGTGAAACAATGCCCGGTGGTGGCCTGGCCTCGCATGATATACGTCTGCGGGTTTTTGCAAGACAAAGGCGTTTTATATCGCGCGCATTCGCCGCCCGCAACTTGCACGCGGTTTTGTGCCTTCGGTGCCGCGCGCGTCGCACCAAGTTTATGCACTTCACGCGCGCCTGCGCGAAACGCGCCTCGTGTTTGAGAATTCCCCTTCACGGACAAAGCTCGCTCGTTGCTCTCTTTTTAAATCGCCCACGCCTCCCCTCCAGGTGTTCGGCCTGCTTTCGTTTCTAGGACGCTAGGATTATTGTAGGCGCTATTTACGCCTTGTGATTTCGCGGGTGAAACGTGTTCTTATTTATTGTTCGTTTGAGGGTGAGTTGTGTAGATTGGATAGATTTCGGAAAAGTTTTGTTTCGTGTTAAGGAATAGAATGCAGGTTGTGTTGCGCGGGAATGGAAGTGAAAGAGTTTAGAAATTCTCTTTCCGTTTACTGTTCGTATAAAATATATGAACAAAAATGGAAAGATTTAGGAATAGAATTTTTCTATTTCTTTGGTCGAAGAAGAAAATTCGTATAATTTGATATTTCTGATTAATATGATATAGGGAGACGAAATAAATTTATTCATTAGAGTTTTTAATAAAAAAAAAATTGTATATATACAGAATAATTAATCTCAACTTCTCTTTATATACGAATATTTACGCAGATTTTTGTAAGAAGCACGTATTGTAAATATTTCTACGTATTATAATCCGATAGAGCAGAGTTTCTCTCTTTCTTATTATACCTCTCGTAATAAGCATAATAACAAACGTATCGTTATCCTCACAACACTTTATTCGCATGAGTTGAAAAGAACATTTTCTGTATATTTTTGGGGTAACAATTCGTTTAAGAATCTAGGTACATTAGACACAATGCGTCACCCGTTAAAAATCTCTTTCTCTCTCTCTCTTTCTCCGAGTAAAAGGGGTGCAAAAAAAAAAAGAAAAGAAAAGAAAAGAGGGAAAGAACAACGTGGAAACCGAAACGGGCAAAGTGTCTGCGCGATAGTTTTAAATATGTAGTATTAATTCTACGCGGAATTACTTTCTCTGCTGAGAAGTAATGAGGGAACCGTAAAAGGCATCGACGTAACGAGGCGAGAGAGAAAAGGGCAACGGTATACTTGCTTGTATTTCCTCCCCTCTCCCATTATTGTCCAAAAAAAAAAAGAGAAAGAAAGAGAGAAGGGGAAAAGAAGGATAAAAAAAATTCGCTTTCTTCGGTCCGGTGGCGGTCGCTTTGCCGTTTGACTTTTCTAATTACGAATTCGAGCGTTCTATTGGAACGCGTTCGCGGAAGGAGTCGCAAAGAACGTGTCAGAAATTACGTAACCCCCTTTTATACCTTCGCCTCTTTTTTTCTCTTTCCACCCCCTTCTGCACATATAAATAATATTCTCCTCTTTTTTTTTCTTTTTTCTTCCTTTTAATTGAAAAAACGCAGCAACGAATTTAATTACAACGATGTCCATACAAACTTTCTTTTCCGATTGTGAGCCACGATTTAATTAATTACAGAATATAAACGCAAGTCCCGCGCGCTTAAGTTACTCACGGGGGAGAGGGGGGGGAGGGGAGGCAAAAAATTAATAAGACTCGATTCGATGAAGTTTTAAAACCGACAAAAAAAAAAAAAAAGAAAGAAAGAAACGTGGAAGGGGACCGAATATAATGAAACTCCAAGCTTGTAACAGTAATTCATCACTTTTTCAAGAGCGCGAACAAGAGCGCAAAGTTTTTACCCTTTGGATCGAGAGAGATTTATTATCGTCCCGATTATCCCGATTTTACTTTTACTTAAACTGGGAAAATAAGCCGGGAATCGATTTCCGCGAGGTGTTGCTTCTCAGCCGATGTCCAGCAACCTCGCAATTACTACTTGCAACGATAACACGTTTCAAAATAACAGCTTTTCACGCCGACCCCTTCGACGAGGTAACAGTGTCGCTATTGTTAAGCAATATCCCTAATGCGGTGTCAATTCATAAATAGCCGCGCACCAACACGCGCTTTTGCACGCACACGGGACACCATGCGCCAATGCGACATCGCTGTAAATGACGACCATCGACGAGAGCCGAGGTATAACTGGACGTTACATGGCCGGCACATAAACGTTGCCTCCGTCCACTCTGTGGACAGTAATTACGCGTTATGCGCTCACCGCCGATTCAACCCTCCCTCTCCCTTTTCCCGTTGAAAAAGAAAATTTCGCGCCGCGTAACCGCGAATGAACACCGTTAAAAAATCTTCCGTATCGTTGTTTCTTTTTTNTTTTTTTTTTTTTTTTTTTTTTTCCAAATAACCACGAGTCGGCGAGTTATCTTGTCGGCAAATCGAGAACTATAAAGCGAATTTCGTTTATTCTGGAGGGAGGGGGGAGGGGGAATTAAATAAACGAGAGTCACAAAATTTGAAAATTTCGCGATATTAAAATATTGGAGCTCGGTGGAGGAAATGTCGAATATTTAATTAATTATTAATATAAGTATATTCTAATATTATAATCGACGAGTTGAAGGAGAGGGAGAATGGTTAATATTAAAATATTCGTTTCATCGATATTTTATTCGTAATTTTCGAATCGATAAACATTAATCGTATTAAACTAAGTTTCTACTAAATACCTGTTTTTAGGATCAATTTCATTTTCGTTGTATCCAATATTTCTTTCTCTTCCTTTTTCTCTTAATTACGCGAAACGATACGAATATATTTAATTCAATTATTATAATCGTAATTTCCAAATATATTTTTCCCTAACCAAATAATAATTCTCCAATTTATCTTATCCATTCCTCAGCTATCTTCTCCCATTTATCTTTATCTAATCCAACAACCCCGGTTCACTCCTATCCCATCTACCTCACGAACCAATTACTAACCCTCCTCAAAATCCATAATCCAATCATCATCCAAAAGATTCCTTCGACCGGTTCCCCAGTCGAACCTTCAAACTTCCTCGAACCTATGCAAACTATAACTCGAACGCTCCACGATTTTCCCTTCGTTTTCCGACTCGCGTGGGCGACAAACAACAACTAATTTCCACCCTTTCTCGTAACCACCTCACCCTAATGGGTAGAGAGAGGGGGGGGCAGAGAAGTGAAGGGTCTCGCTCGTAAAAAGAAAAAAGAAAAAAAAAAAAGTTAGACGCCGCGTAGACGCGGCAAATTTGTTTATCGGCGCGCGAGCCGGTTCCACGGCATTAATACGCGGGGCGTCAGCGATAACCATTCTCAATATCCATAATTATTATCAACGGCGGGAGGAGGTGTTGGCAGCCCCAGAGCGGACCACGTGACTCGTTCCCGTCGAAATAAAATGACAACGTTCATTTGCAAATGCACGAAAGTGCATTATTTTTATTGGGTTTGTTAGTAGCCGAATCGTCGGTGTACCACGCCGTTCGTTCCTCCATACGGTGCCCCCCGCGTTCGTCCCAACACCGATCGACGCGTTGTGAAACGTTGCAC